GATGTTACACTCATCAAGAGCTTTTATTTGAGTACCCACATGCATTTTTTATATATTTTTCATATATACATATATATAAATATATAAAATATATGAAAAATTGATGTGGGTACTCAAATGAAAGGTCTCGATGAGGGTAACATCAGGATGAGCTTATATCTTTAAAAATATCAATAATTCACAAGATAAAAGGTCATTTCTTAATTATGTCTCTAGAGATAGAGCATTTTTTAATGCAGCCTAAATACTTATCATAATAAATTTACTATCGGTAAGGATGATATGAAACCTTGAAAAGGCATAAATTTAAGTAAAGACCTTTACAATTACAGTAAATTAAAAAAAAAACCGATTTTATCATATGAATATCCTGTAAACAAAATTTTTCTTATTCTCCTAATAATATAGATAAATAATTGTATACCATACAGACACTTTTAAGTAATCTTTAAGAAACTTTTGGACATCAAGGCCTCGATTCTTATCAATTAATCAATGTTCCTTATATTCGTATCTAATTTAACCAAATAAAATTATATCTTTAAAATTGTGTGCTTTAATCTTTCTTCCATTTTATATAAAAGAAAAAAAAATGCTTTATTTATAAAATAAAAAGGATTAACAGTGAGTGCAGCAGAGGCCAATTTTTTTTAATTTGCTAATTACATTTATTATACATGAATTAAAATAATATATAATTTTATGTATTTATTTATTAATAATATAATTAATTGTGTATGAATAAAATAAATTTAATCATACGCATTTTTATTAAATTAACAAGCTTAATTTGTTTTTCTACTTTTATTTACATATATCTTTTGAAACTAGACAATATTTTGATTGAATTTTTATAAAGGGAAGACAAAATCATTAATTGATATTGAATCGCAAAATTATAAATTAATTAAGAACTTATTTAAACAAATTTTGATAAAAAATATTTAAATAAAAAAATTGAAAACATAATTAAGTTAATAATTATAATCGGTTCTTGGGCACTATTAATTTTTGTATAAAAAAATTACAAAAAGTTGCTCATATTTATGAATTTATTTAACTTGATAAATTTAAACAATTGTACTTAAATAATTCTGTAAATAATAAGGATTTAAAAAACAATGATTATTAATCTTAATTACTTCAATTCAAGATTTAATTTAAATAACTAATTATTTTACAGCTAATATGATTACTTAATAGTATTATAAATATTACAATAATTATTTTACAAAGCTAAAAAAAATTTTTGTAATTATTTACAAGTGGGGTCAACCTAATTTTGGGTTATAATTAGTTCAAAAATTAACATTGAAAAATGTTTTTTTATTCTGCTAATTTTTACGGCGGATTTACTTTAAAAAATTTCGTAAAAGAAAAAAATAAAGATTTCAATCGTTTTTTTTATCTTCAAAAGTTGGAAAAAATTTTGGCTCTCGTGTATTTGGATAAAATTTCTATTTTACCTTTTTCTGATGTATATAATTTTTTTTTAAAGTACATAAAAAAAATTTTTTAAAAAAATTTATAAATTTTTTCGAAAATTTGTTAAAATTGTGATAATCAATTTTTATTTGTAAATTGTTTATTTAACAAAAAAAAACATATCAATAAAATCAAATAGAAATTTCGTTAAAAAAAAATGAAAATTAAAATTTTTGACCCCACTTATAAATATTTACCAAAATTTTTTTAATATAAAAATACTCTTGGCATCAATAAATTATTACGATGATAGTTAATTTGTTGTTACTTAAACTCTATGTACAAAAAATATAAATTGTGCGTATTGATATCATTGATGGTATTTGTAAACTTGAAGCCCAGTTTTTTTTGGAAGAATCAGTTCAAGAGAACTAAATTTTTAGTTATTCTAATTCAACTATTTCTAAAAAAAAAAAAAAAAAGAATTTTTTCTTTAAATATTGATTTAAAATTAAATAGAAATTAAATTATAGAAAAATAATTAAAATTGAAACTTACCAACATCGTTGTCTGAACTATTTACAATTATCCCCGTTGACAATTGAGCCTTTGATTGCTTTGTCTGAGTCGTCTGTGCGGGTTCTAATGTACATACATTGCTTATTTTAATATACGATTTGGTCATCATCGCAGAATTTTCATAGTCTAGAATTGAAGGTAATATCCACTCGCCTTTGCAACTATTCATCAGTCTTGGTAAGTCGTAAAAAATTGTCTGAAAAATTAACAAGTGTTTAAAAAAAAAATCAAAATAATTTTGTCTATCTAAATAATGTAATTTTAATAATAGCTCATACCTTTATAGTATAATTTTTATGAGGATGAAATTTGTTCAGTCGGAAGTCTTGAGATAATTGGGTTGAATGTTCACTAGAGATCAAATTAGTTTCAATGATCTTCATTAAATCCTTGAAATGATTAGTTATATTACAGGGAGGCAACAGTCTTATTAGTTTTAATATTACTACCTGTAAAAAAATAATCAGAGTTGATTTTTAAAAATTTAATTTATAACTAGCAACCTTGCAGTCACTATGTGACTGCCGGGACTTGTGAATTATAAATAAATAAAATTTTGCTTTATTAAATAATGACTTACGTTAACTATTATATATATATATACGTACATATGAAAAATATATCAAAATGCATGTGGGTACTCAAATGAAAGCTCTTGATGAGTGTAACATCAGGATGATCTAATATCTTTAAAAATGTCAATAATTAAGAAATAACATTGTATCTTGTGAAATATTGACATTTTTAAAGATATAAGCTCATCTTGATGTTACACTCATCAAGACCTTTCATTTGAGTACCCACATCATTTTTTCATATATTTATATATATTATATATATGAATATATGAAAAATATATGAAAATGCATGTGGGTACTCAAATGAAAGCTCTTGATGAGTGTAACATCAGGATGAGCTTATATCTTTAAAAACGTCAATATTTAATAAAGTACAGTGTAATTTAACAAAAGTCATCATTTAATGAAGCAAAATATTTTTTTTTGTTAAAAAATTATCAGAGTCTATGAATTTAAATATTACAATAATAAAAAAAAAGTAAAAAAATTACCTGGCAATAACACCCATCATACTCCTTATTACAAATAAACGATTCAAGTTTAAAAATAGCAGCTCTGATAAACACCAAAACCTGATTTTTAGGCAGCGCATTAGTAGCAACATGAAGAATAATCAACGCCACGGAAGTAACACTCTCTTTATTATTCTTCACCTTATCAAAAAGTTTCCACAAATCCTCTAAAGTTTTGGCATAGCTCAAAAAAATTTTAATCAGCAGCCACTCTTGAAACGTCCTGACAATCGGCGAGACCTTCTCCGCCACAAAGGACTCAGAAATGACCTTAATAATTTGAAAAGCTCTATCCTGATTAAGATAAGGCTGCAGAACCATCAACATTTGCATCACCCGGCACTTGATCCTATCAGAATTCAGGTCGCATTTGCCCTTGCGTTCCTCTAACTCAGAAATCAGAGTTCCCACCAACTCCTTAAAACTCCTTCCCTGCCTCAGCATCGAGCAAAATAACAGAATCAGCCTGGCTCGACTGGTCATATCAACAGCCGCCAGATTTCTTCTTTCAAGATCAGAATTATTAAATGCAAAAAACTGGACCTGTGCCTCCAATCTCTCCCTCACCGGATCTTCTTCAGACACATAAATCAGCATCTTCAATGCAATATTCTGCAAGTAGACAAACGGCTCTTCACCAACTGATATCAATTTCTTCACCAGCAAGCGCCTCAACCTTGCAATAGCCTTTCCTTTGTCCCACATAGCTGCAACATAGCCCACTCCGTCATTGCGGAGCTTTTCCGCGCCTTTAAATCCGACTACCTGGACCGAAAATTCAGCAAAAAGCTCGTAGCATTTAAAAAAAATCTCGTTTTGCTCCATAGACCAGAGATAATTCCAGACTAATTCAAAAAATGGTTCAATAACGTTGCCATAATTGTCAATGCACGTCAGGTACAACATTTTAGTCATCAACTCAACAGCAGATGGCATTATCTGTTCCTTCTCCAGCGCCAACAATTGCTGGATACTCTTAACAGGTCCCGAGATCAAAAACGGACTGTTGTTAGGCACCAGCTTTATAGTTTGAACGATAGAGCGCGCTATCAAGCTATAGCACTTTCCCGCCATTTTGTGCGCTTCGCCATTTTCTCTAAACTTAACACCCTTAGAGAGCATATTTGGATTTAGCAGCAATTTTAGAGTATTTACATTGTATTTTTCCAAATATTTAATGCAAATGTACTGCAATCTTAAAGCGAAGAGGTACTTAAGGTCTTTATACTCATCATTGCTCATAATTTCAATTACTCGCTCAGTTCCTGATAAAACTTTCATGAAATATCCGCAGTAATCTTCTACCTTAGAAGTTATTAATTCAGCAATTGTCTGGAAAGTTTCGGTGTAGATTTCTAATTCTTTATAAGAGTAGACTATTGGACGTTCAAAAGTGCTGAATACTGAGACCAGCACAGATTCTAATACGGCCATAAATGAATTAATAGTGAAATTAAGCTTGTCAATCCCGCAAATTTGGGTCAGACCCAGGAAGAAATAATTAAGTAGCTGTAAAATTTTAGTATGGTGGATTTTATCTACATACTTTTGCTGGTTTTCATCCACGATTATTATATTAAATATTGCGCACATAGCTTTTAATTCTGGAGCGTTAGAAGCTCGGAAAATTAACGAAGCTGCGAATAAATAGACAGTCATTTTGGCGAATTCTTCTAGACCTGTAATATCTTGGTTCTTTTTAATCAATATCTTGGATAATTTTTCACACTGGCTGTAAATATACTGCGCAGCTTGCTCGGATGTGACTTTATTCTTCAGAGAAATTATAATAAATTCATGGCAAGAACTTGCAGCTTCTAATTTTGGAAAAATTCGGGATAAAATATCCAGCGCAGTTTGATTTGATACCCCAGCGAAGATATTTATGATATTAATAATATTCTGGCAGAAAAAATGAACTGAAACTGATAATTGGTTGCTTAGATTTTTATCAATGATAATTTGCAGGCATTTTAATTCTTGTTCTTCAAATCTGTTGAATTGAACGTGATAATTTATCATGAAGCCGGCTTTGCAGAGGCAGTACATTACGTAAAATAGAGGAACCGGTTCCCAGGAGACTTGAGACATGTGAAAGATAAATTTTTTAATCAAAGATACTTGCGCGTACTCCGCTTTTACAAATAATTCTGCTAGTTCTTTTATAATTTGAGTTTCTATGCAGAAAGTCTCGCTGTCGTGAATAGCGACGTTGTTCAACGTATTAATTAAAAGAATTAACAAATCGTCGTAGTAAAATCTTGGATCTAATTTTAGCAGGGTAATTAGTCCCACTTTAACGACTTCAATTGTCTTGTGAGCAAGCACGCGTTTGAAAATACACTCCAGCCAGATAAAATCTAGGCAATTTAAGCAAAAAATACAGTGAAAGTAATGAAACTGGATCAGAATTTCCAATTGAACTACCGTCTGGTGGATTAAGCTTCCCTGGTCTTCTTCCAAGCTTTCAATTAATAAAAAAAAATAATTAACTGCGTGCTTTACAGCCATTTCTGTTTTATAATTAGGACATCCTACGAAAGGTACTAAATTGGTTTGATTTAAAGTGATTTGATACTTATCAAGAAAGTTTAAGATTCTTTTCATACTATGGAGTCCTAGTTTATGATTTTGCTCAATAGGAGACATCAAACCTTGGAGAATTAATTGCCAGAGCATTTCGCTGCGGCAGCAGTTTAAATTAATTAACAATTTTTCCGGAGATGACAATGATAGAAGATCATCTATCACCACGTTTAGCAGAGACAGAGATTTTTCCCAGTCTGTGGTAGGATAATTTAATATCATGACCCAGAGGTAGTCTAGAGCTATTCTTTTTTCGAGTGTTTTAACCAGTTTAGTGATTATAGCTACAAAAAGCACCCAGTCTTTTAAAGTAATGTCTTTGTACCAGATGATAATCTCTTCTAGGATAAGAAGGCTGGCTTCTGTGAGCTCATGCTGGTCTGGAGAGTGCTTCAAGCATAGTGCATCGACAAAGCACTCTGTTACTTTGTAATAAATATTGCTTTCATTTTTTTTATCTCTAGCTGAAGCTATAAAATTTTTGTAAAATTCAGCAATCACTGGGATGTTAAAATAGAGTTTTAAATGCAAAACTAGTATTTCATACAAAATTGGAATTAATTCTTTACCTTCTTTGTCGTAATTTTCGTAGATGTATTTTATGATTATATTAAAGAGAGTTTGGTCGAAATTAAGCAATGATTCAGGAGAGCCGGTGGTTAAATTGTACTCGTAGCAGAGCACTGTGTAAAATCCGTCGGCTATTCTTTTGCTAATGGAGCCTTCGGAGATTTTTTTTATGTACTTGCCGACTATTTTGTGGATCACTAGCAAAGGATTCGCCTCGAAGTCGTCGTCCAGCACTCCTAGGACTTCTATTGGTGACACTATGGTTTTTTTGTACAGCAAATCGCGGTTATTCATTTTTTCTAGCGCTGTCATGGTCAGCTCTTGGAGGTTGATTTAATTGTGGTTGATAAAAAAAGCCATTTTTTAAAGTAATTTGTTGTTTGACACTAATTATTCTTATCTTGATATATAACAACACAACACTAACAAAAACATTGCATAAGGTTATAAACACTACACGTGGTAGGGGTACGCATGCTCCTTTTGATAGACTGGGACTATATATACTAATGACACACACTGAGAGTGTGAGGAACTTCTGTTTTTAGTATAGTTAGTGGTGGGAGAGAAAATGTAAATAATACTGAAGTTAGCTGACAGCTGTTAAAATTTTAAAAATTTTTTTAACAATAAAAAAATGCTTATAAAAATTTTCACTTGTAATTTTTATTAATTTTCACATAATATTAAAGTTAGCTGTCAGTTGACTATTTTTCAATTATATTTAACAAAATAAAACACTCGAAAATTATTAAAACTTATGAATGCACCACGTTGATTTATTTAGGCAGTTTTTATTTATTTATAAATAATTAAACGTGGTAATTTAGAATTTAAATGATGCAGATTGTTTGATAAAAAAAAAAATAAAAAAATGAGCGATTTTGCTAAATCGCAGCTTGAGAAATTTGGTTGAGTCGCAGGTAATTGTTTTATTTATTTCATTTATCAAAATATTAACTTTAAACGTTAGTTCATTTACAAAGTAAATAAAATAAAGAATTTTTTATAAATTAAATACTAAATTTTTAATGAATAAAGTTATCAGATGTTATAATTATAATTATTTTATATTTTTATAGAGACTTCACATTTAATCATAATGAAATTTTACTTTTCTTTAAAAAAAAAAAAAAAGATTCTAGAAAAACATTTTTAAAATAAATTCTTTTTTGAAATTAATATATATATATATATAGAGTCATTATCGTAGCAAAAACAACCTTGGAAAGGTATTTCCAATGGGACCTTTTATCAATTATTTTTAAGTTTATAAATTCTCAGAGATAGATAATTTTCAAATACAGCTTAAATACTTATCATTATAAATACTTCTCATAATAACTATTGGGGAGAATGAAATAAAACCTTGAAAATAAGGCACAAATTAAAGTCAAGATCTTTGCAATGACACTAAATTCACTGTTTATTTTAGTTTTTTTTTTGCATGATTCATAAAAATTGTCAATAATAAAAATTTATAAAAATTGAATAGTAAATAGATAGATAAAAGTGTAATTTACAAAAATTTTGCATCCTCTCTCGGAAATTTATATTTATTTTGGGTTTTTTTAGTTTTTCTCTTCTTATGTAACTGATTACCATCATTAAGGTGGATCTGTAATAAAATAATTATTTAGTTAAAATCATAAATTATACATTAAAAAAATACAAGTCCATAAAACAAAAATAAATACCCTTTTTTTCTGGTTTTTTCGTGGCGATGACAGTAGGCCGGGTTGATGGTGGGCATCTTCTTCCCTGTTTTCCTTGCTGCTTTTGTCCTTGATACTTTCTTTCCCGCTGCTATTTTGTGGGTTGGATTGTTTTTTTCTAATCCGATATATTCTAAATTTTAACAGAGCGTGAATGTGTAGGAATAGTTCGGTTGGAAAATGTTGTTGGTTTCGTTTATTTCTGCTGAAGAATTGCTTGATATTGAGAGCACCTATAACATGAAAGAAAAAATATTAAAAAAAAAAATAACTTGTAAATATAATTAAAAAAAAATAATGCATTAATTTACCTCATCATTGTACTTTTCTTTATTTCTTCTTTCCATATTTGGTGAATAAATAAACACTGTTTTTTTTTTTTCTTTTCACTACGAGGGCACTCTGAAGAATAAATTTACAAATAATACTTATGTTAAGAGTAACTAGGTAGTTTCAAAAAATTTGGGTAGAGGGAATGTGCCATTGAAGCATTTGTATTTATGGACATATTTTCTTACAAAATTGGTGTAAATATAAAATGTATCTTACATTTATGTATAGGACCCATTCATTATTTTTATTAGTTAAAAGAGCATAAGAGTGGGAAAAAGGGTAATTGTCCCGCCTTTTCGCACAGACAATCATTATTGATAGTAGTAGTCAGAATCGAAGGGTATTTAAATTTTAACATTGAAAAAGCTTTCGCGCTACCCTGATAGCCAGACTTTCTGTTATAAACCTTTCGTTGAGCATGGCTACTAGGGTATCTGCCGTACATACACTAGTGAGGTGCATTAACACGTAAAACCTTGAAAAGGCACAAATTCATGATATTGAAGTTCGCTGTTAATTTTTAAAATTTATTTTTTATAATAATTTAATTGCTATAAAATTATAAAAAAATTTCTAATATTTGTCAGCTCAGTCTCATAAATGAATCAGTAATAATAAATTTTTTTTTAAATAAATCATGAAAAAAAAATAATTTGAATTTATTTTATTATAAATTTATAAAAATAAATACTCCATTTAAATAATTAAGAAAATATATATTGTTGTGCGTAATGCCACATACAAATTGCTCCAGTAACATGAACATTTAGCGACCTGACAACACCAGCTTGAGGAATTTCTATGCAGACGTCCATCAGAGGAATTAAATTCGCCGGCATTCCGCTTTTTTCATTTCTAAAAAAAAAATTATTACTTGATAATTAATAAAAAATTTTAGATCAAATAAAATATGAATGATTAATAAATAATTACCCCAAGACTAGAACAGTTTTTTTATCGAACTTGACATCAGTAAGACAAACACTATTCGCAGTTTGCTCAGCGCCGACTATTTTCCACCCTAAAGAACTCTTCTCGAGTAAATAATCTCTAAGCTCATGTGCCTTCACCTCCGTTATCTGGACCCACTTTTCTGCAGACACACTCAGCATCTGAAACTCTTTGTTCTCAACATACTTCGTACTACTGAGGACCAATTGCTTCGCGCAAAAAATTTCAGCAGTTCTCGCGAGCCCGCCTAAATTTGCCATACTGTCTATCAAACTCGCAACGACAATCAATCCAGTGTCATCAGCTAGTTTTAGTCGTCTCAATGTTCCTGATAAATCTTCTTCCAACGGAATCATTGATTTCCAAGGCATTATTTTCTTTTGAACATCATCAGAATTTTCATTATTGATTTCTTCTTCATCCAATTCTTGACATCGCGTTTTTGTCATCTGAGATGAGGAGATGTTTTCTAATGTGTATTCATTATTTACTAAATTTTGAGCATCAATATTATTTAACTTGAAGACTGAAGCTAGATGTTCAAGAATCTTCGGTGATATCCACTCGTCTTTTGACATGTTTAATAATCTTGGGACGTCATAAAATATTGTCTGAAAATAAAAAGATTTATTATTATTATTAGGAAAATTTTAAGGTTGTCGTAATGAAGAAATATTATTTATTATTATTACTAGCAACCCTGCAGTCACTATGTAACTGCCGTGACTTGTGAATTATAAATAAATAAAATTTTGCTTTATTAAATAATGATTTTTGTTAAATTGCACTGTATTTTGTGAACTATTGACCTTTTTATAGATATAAGCTCATCCCGATGTTATACTCATCAAGAGCTTTCATATGAGTACCCACATGGCATTTTTTACATATTTTATATATATGATATTTGTGATATATATATATATATATATATAAATATATAAAATATATGAAAAATTGATCTGGGTACTCAAATGAAAGGTCTTGACGAGAGTAACATCAGGATGAGCTTATATTTTTGAAAATGTCAATAGTTCACGAGATACAAGGCCATTTTTAAATTATCTATCTAGATTATTATTTTTGTTAAATAAATTAATTCAATTTATAAAGCATAAATTAAAATAAAAATACATACCGTAAGAGTAAAATTTTTAACAGGATCAAATTTAGTAAAATAAAAGTCTTCACAGAGCTTCATTGAATTTTTGTGCATATTCCCTCTTAGTAGACTTTCATCAATAGACTTTTTCAAAACATCATAATTACAAACCGAAGATGAAGGAATCATTTCAAATAATTTCGCCAAAACCGTCTGTAAAAAAAAAAAACAACTTTAATAAATAATTATTTCCCAAAAAATGAAAACAACCTTAAAAAAATAAACTATCACCTGACAATAAAGTCGAACAACAAATTGCTGACTAAAAGAGCAAGACAGAAGTTGAGAAGTAGCATCTTTAACAAACAACTGCTGCCTTTCCCCAGAAACATTTCTCGATACATGATAAACAATCGAAGCAATTGATGTAATACTCCCAGGCCTTTCTTCTTTGGCCCTCTCCAGAAGTCCCCAGAGTTTTTCCAACAATTTAGGAGTATCCAAATAAATTTTAATCAGCAGCCACTCCTGCATCATTCTCACCGTAAGCTGATTACTCTCCACAATAATCAAATCTCCAATTGTGTCATGCATCTTTATCAAATTTTCTTCTTTTAATCCATGTATTGACGTGATTACCAGCAACAATTGCATCACTCGATGCTTTATTCTATGCAAATTTGAGTCATTATAATACCTTTTATTTTTGTGTGTTTTCAATATCGACAAAAGCATCTCCACAATATCATCTTCTTTTTCAGAAACATACTTTTGGTTACTCAGCGCATTAATTATCAAAAACACCGACTCTGCTCGAAAAAGTGTCTCAACATAAACTCTGATTTCATTTTTACCACAAAAAACATCATAGCAATATTTAACATCAAAATTATTAAACAAAAAAACCTGAGCTTGCATTTCAATTTTTCTTTCCCTTCCAATATTACATTCAATAAAATTCCTCATAATAACATCCCAATAATTTATTATTTCTTCTTCAAGTAACCAAAATTTACTCCAAAGTAAGCTTCTTAACCCAGGAATATCTTCACTTTTTAAATTTATTTTATAAATATACTCTTTAACTTCCAAAGGAGCAAACTTATTAATTTCCATCAGACATTCAATAAATTGCTTGCTTGCGTTCCAAAATTCTTCATCGCGATTCATGTCCCACAAATTTACCCAACAAGCTTCTACCAAACATTTAACAACATCCATATTCTTCTCCATGCTATTTCTTCTTTTAGTCAACAAGTATGTCAATAATTTAACTACCGAGCTTATTACACACTCTTTGCCCAAGTCGACTAACTTCACCAAGCTCAGTAATATTTCTTCATACTCTTCAATAATATCCACCGAATAACCCACCAAAAGAAGAAATACTTCACCAATAAGCTTGTAACAATCAAAGGTTACTCTTCTTTCTTCGCTGATTCGGTTCTCAGAACTCAGAGGGCGCTTGCATAGTTTCATTATCGACGTTACGCCCTCTACATTTGGCGTCTCTAAGTACTCAACACAACTTTTAATTATACTAAGCGTGAATAATAATTTTGTGTTTGTAACTTCATTTTGGACAATTAAATTCAAAGCAGAAGAATTTATGCTGTTTAAATACTCCCGGAAAAATTTATTATTTTTAATAAACTTTGTTACATTTTTAAAGCATATAAAATAAATTTCTTCTGATTGATTAAGATTCTTGATAATAAAAGCAAGCACGGATTTTATGTGTGGTAAGAAAGTATTAAAGATAAATTCTTGATCTTCATTGCTACAATATTTTCTTAAATAATAAAAAAACCAGTTAAATAAGCTAATTATTTTCAGGCAATTATCCTTATCAGCATAAGGCCGAGATTCAATGTTAATTAGTGAATTAAAAATCTCCAAAAATTTCTTTAAAGATAAACATGCTGAAGATTTAAAAATCTTCTTTGCGTCGTACAAAAAAGCAGTCATTTGTGCAAAGGACTTAATATCAACTTCACTGGACAAATTTGCGCTTTTAATATAATTCTCAGCTGCTTCAGATGTTAATTTATCTTTTAAATACATCCTTAATGCGCTGCAACTCAAGCTGGAGTTTATCAGACAATTACGAGTGATAGAATAATAAATTCTTGCTAATGCCTCAAGCGGAATTGGTTCTTCAGCAAACTTAAAAATAGCATCAGCTATAAAATCCCGTAATATATTTCTTAGAGACAGAGGTTGAGAGTGTAAAAATTTATTTAAGATAGTTTCCAAGGAATTTAATTGGTCTCCAGTCCACAGGTTGGTTTTTACCGGAGGATTTATCATGTGTCCCGCTTTGTAAAGTGAAGACATCACATAGAACAGAGGAATTGGGGTCCAATTAATTGCTCTTGCCTGGAGAACAAATTGATTTATTAAAGGAACTTGTGAATTCTCGGCTTTTACGAATAATTCAGCGAGTTCTTTAACAACCACCGGTTCAGGCTCTGATGTTTGATTGTCATAAATAAAAGTCGTGTTTAAGCTAGTTATTAACAGCTCTATCAAGTCTTGGGTGTAAATTACCGGGTCAATTTTCAGGAGAATTGTCAATCCTAATTTAATTACTCCATTGGTCTTGTGATTTAGCGCCCGGGTTAAGATACAGAGGAGCCATTTGATGTCTAGACAATTTAAACAGTTCAAATGATCAAAGTGAAATTTAATTAAGCTTTCTAAGTGTGCAAGAACTGGAGTTACTAAATGTCCTTGCTTTTCTTCCAGACTCTCTAGAATTAAAAAGAATTTCTTCTTTAATTCTTTTATAGCCGGATTTTTTTTATAAGCTGGACAATTAATGAATGGAATTAATTTAGTTGATTTAGCTGGATGCTTTTCTAAGAAGTCTAGTATTTTTTTCATTACATAAAGCCCCTGTTTACGATCTTGCTCCACGGAAGACATCAGTCCTTTAAAAATTAGCTGCCAGGTAATTTCAAGGCTGCAGTATTTGCAATTTAAAGATAATATTTCTTCAGAAGAAATAGCTAGGATGTAATCTATCAAGATGTTTAGCAAAGTTAAAGATTTTTCCCAGTCATTTAAATTATTTAGGATCATTTCCCACAATTGGGGTAAAATGGACACCTGATTAAACACCCGGAGAATTTTTATTACAAGTGAAATAAATATTTTCCAATCTTTCTTCTCAATTTTTGTAAAAAAAATCTTTAATTCTGAAACAATTAATTCATCTTCTAGGATATCTGATGACAAACGCTTCAAACAAAGAGCGTCAATGAAGCATTCAATTATTTTGTAAAAAATTTCAGTGTCTTTAGGATAAATTTCTATGAAATTTTTTAATAAATTATTTACTTCAAAAACGTCGCAATAAAGTTTTAATTGTAAAACTAGGATTTCATACAACAGGTGTATTAAATCTTCGGAGTCTTTTTCGTGGTTCTCGGTGATAAGTTTTAAAATGTTAAAGAAAAAATTTTTATCAAAATCTAAGGGACATACTGGATCAGTTTCTGGTAAATTGTACTCGTAGCAGAGCACAGTGTAAAATCCATTTAGGATTTTTTTATTTATAATACCTTCAGACAGTTTTTTGTTGTAGTTATTCACTATTTTGTGGATTGTTATCAGAGGATTGGATTCAAAGTCAGAGTCTAGTATTCCTATCACTTCTATTGGCGCAACTGTTGCTTTTTTATACAGCTGATCACGATTATTTATTTCTTCCATTTTTTTTATTTTATAACACTTGTTTTAAATGACTTTATTGGTCAATATTTAATTGAATTAAATTTATTTAACAGATATTTGAAAGGTTTTTTTAACAAATTAGTTGCAGCAGAAAAAATAGACTTGTAAAAATTGAAAAAAAATTATAATTACTATTTTTTGAAACAGTTTTTTTGTTAAATAAAATTAAATAATAATTATCCAGTAACTACTGAATTTTATGTGATATATACACAGTCAACACGTGGAAAGTAAAGAGGTTAAAATATTTATAAACATACTTTGCAACTTTGCAGCATCAAGTGCTCTACTAGTGTAAGATGCGCGCGCAAGCGCGCGCTTGAATTTTAGTATGAAATTATATTGTATATGTATTAAATTAAAGTAATTAATTAAATACATTTAAATTAATTAAATACAATTAAATTAAAAGTAAAAAAATACTTGTAAATAATTGCAGGTAGGTACAATTTTTGAAATATTTTACACAAGAAATTTTTTCAATAAAAAAAAATTAAAAATTAATTTATCAGATATATGAAATTATTTTGGAAATAATAAAAGCTTAAATATTTTTTTATAAATTTTATTAATAATTTATAAATGAATTATAAATTTTTTTAATACGTCTTATCAAATCCTTTACAAATTTTATTGTAAAAATCGATAAATAAAATTGTTCAGATTTTTATTCAAGATTTTTTAATTATAGAATTTTAATTGAATCTTTATAAAGAAAATACAAAATAATTGATAATAAATATAAATTATTTATTGCACACCGCTATAGAGCGCAAAAGTGTTCTATCAGCTGAAAATTTTTCGTGAAATTCCACACAAGAAAACTCATCATTACTGTTTTCAGCAAAAAAAAAAAAAAATATAGCAATCTGTGTACCAAAAATACTGTATAAAACAGATTGCAAATTTCAACTTGAATTAATTTAACAAAACTAATATAAACGCATCACAGACATTTAATTAGTGAGTAATTAATATTAATCATGCCGAACGTGAAAACTAACAATATACTCAGCGTTGGTACGTTGAACTGATATTGCAAAGGGATCAGTAGGATGAAACGTAAATGCGACAAGTCTTCTTGCTACTACGGGAGTTGTTCTTCCCAACATTCCTGCATGCAAGCGAAATTTTAATAATCCTGAGTCTCTTGCGTAAAATCTAGAACAAATAAAAAAAAGGAATTTAATTAAAGAATTAGAAAAAAAAATCTGGAACCAACTTTTATTTGAAAAAAAAATTTTTTTTTTAATTATTAATACTAATTAAAGAAAAAAAAATACCTGATAGGATGTTCAGCACAAGCTTTAGGCCGTTCCATCATCGACACCCACTTGTCATCATAACAGAAGAGTGAAAGATCAAGATAAGGCGAGCTCGAGTAAGACTGAGCACAAATTGGCAATTGAGATAGCAGTCTTTTGGTGGCTTCAGTCAATCCTCCGTACCTAGCACTCACAATGGTCTGTTTGTACCTCTGCTGCGTTAGCCGCGCGTAAATGTTATTTGAAGGCGAGCACATGTACGAAGTGTCTGAGTTTCGGAAGAAGTCTGTAAAATTCTCAAACTGGGTCTGCATATGCAGTGACGCATTGTCGTAAGCAGCTATCACCTTTGCCGAGACCATATTGTAGACCACCAGTAGGGCAGGATGGGCATTTGGGTCCGTTGTTTGGAGTGTTGCGACTTCTTCGCTTGCGTAACGGACCAAGATGTGGTTTGTATCCAATAATTGCATCTTCCACATTCGCAAGGCTTCAAACTATTAAATAATTAATTAAATTATTAATTATTGAGCATGAAATAATTTTTGTTGTTTTTTTAATTACCTGGTCGAAGTACTGGTAAAATCGACGCAATTCATAAGGATCCTTTGAATTGCTACTGATATATGCAGCGCGTTTGTACAAATGTATTAATAATTTATGCTTAAGTGTATTAATCATCGTATCTTTGTAAGGTCTTGTGTTTATGTTAGGATACGCTGATGCTAATAAATAACTTTCGTCTTCTAGACAAAACCTTTAGAAGAAATAAATTTTTTATAATTATTATTTATATAATATATTATTATTATATATTATTTATTTAATTTAATTACCTTCCGATAGTTCTAACTTCAATGAACATTCCATCAAGAATTTGAAATATATGAATGGTTTGATGCTGTACTGACAAGACCGCTAAAATATCTTTATACAAATAAAGCCCTAATTAAAAGAAAAAAATAAAAAAAATGTTATTCATAATCAAATAAATATTTATCAAATTAATAATTGCAAATAAATTATTAACCTTGATTATGAGATAGATAAATTTTGTCTACTAAAAAACGGCGATAATCACAAAATTTACCGCTTTTAAGATCAATAAGATGAAGAGTATAATCTTCAAGCGGTGATCTTGGATTTGGGGTCAACGCTTCATTATTGGTATAAATCTATACAATTTAATTTTAATATTAAAGATTATTAATCAGGTTGTATTACTAAAATTTAAATTACATTGATATTAAGAAAAATATTTTTTAAAATTCAGTGAAATGTACCTGATAAAAATGTGGCCTCAGTTCATCAGCAATATGCTTCGCCGAGCCGACAATAACGTATCTACCATCATCAGTAAATAAACTACATTCTCTATTGAGCTGTTCGCTGCTGTCAACAACATTGATGACCCATTTTAGCTGAAATAAAATAAATATTAGTAACTAGCAATAATGACTTTTGTTAAATTGTCCTGTACTTCATTAAATATTGACGTTTTTAAAGATATAAGCTCATCCCGATGTTACACTCATCAAGAGCTTTCATTTGAGTACCCACATCAATTTTTCATATATTTATATATATTATATATATATGTGTATATGAAAAATATATAAGAATTTGTGTGGGTACTCAAATGAAAGGTCTTGATGTGTGTAACATCGGGATGAGCTTATATCTTTAAAAATGTCACTAGTTCACGAAATACAAGGTCATTTCTTAATTATCTATCTAAAGATAGAGTATAATATAGATTATTGATTGTGACAAATTAATTGATTATATTTACTTTAAAAAACTGGTGAAAAATATTATTACGAATCCGAAAACTTTTGTCATCATTCTTGTGCCCGATGTACTCCCTCTCGCCCTTGCAGTCTACGAGTAACTTTGCAGCTGCAGAAGCTCCCTCGTACTTATATACCTCAATTGAAGTCTGGTCGGCGCTGAAGGCCACTAAAAACCTGCCATCGGGGCTGAATTTTCGCAGAAAGCACGGTGGCTTTTCCACATTTACTACCGTGAAATTTGGAAATACATTCTGGTAAAATTGTCGAGCTACCAGGACCTGCGTACCCGGATATTGACATCCAATAGTTTCTCGACGTCTCAGTCTCAGCACAATATTCTGGGCTGGAAATTTTCTTGGTTTTATTCTACAAGGTCCATCAACAAATTCTATTTTTCTCTTCTCCTCTGCCATTGTTTTGCTTTTGTTAATAATTCCATTACTTTGTTAACAAAAAATTTGTTTTTTTAATTGTAAAATTCATGGTTGAAAAAATATTTACAATTATCTGAAAAAATTTTAAAAATTAATAAAATTATAAATAATTTTAATTATTATTTTATTACCTGAAATTTAACCTCACTTTTTATTCATTTTAGTTTTATTTATTCAAGTGTCAAAATTTTATTTTTTTTCACTCACTTTTGTAAAAATTACAAAGTATTTTTATTATTTCATATAAAAAATAAATTAACAATTATCACAGTCACTTATATTTTTTTAATAATACTTTTTTATATAAAAAACAATTCACAATTTTGACAGATTATAATTTTTGACAGATTTTAAAAATGTAATTGCTAAAATTGACAGTTTTTGCAAGTAAAAATTATTTTACAAATTTTATTATTATTTTACAAGTATTTATATATAAAATAATTATTATTGCATTATTATATTGTTGACATATGTATAAAAAATGCTAAAAATGAACTTTTCAAAACTACTGTTGGTAAAAATGTTTCTTAGTGTTATTCTCTATTAAAATAAACTCTAACCTATTGCATACCACGTTTCTATTTTTGAGTGCTTGAAATAGTGGCAAATCTAAAGTGTCATACTAAAAAAATTACAATTATTTCATTCTTAACAACAAATTTATCACATTTTTAAAAAGTGCACAGTACAGATATTTATAAACACTCACAATGTACTTATTAAAACAAATAAACACAGCGATTACTCGCCAAGCCAATGCGAGTCGTCACATTTCGGTAAATTTTTATCAATTATTTAATTAATTAATAAAATCACACAACAATTACATTAACTTCAATTTTTGCATATTTATTAAATTTTTCTTTAAATAACCAGAAATTTTTTTATCTTCAACTTACAAAAAAAAATATTAACTTGCATAAAAAAAATGTACATTTTATTTCTAATTTAACAATTAATTAATTAATTAATCTAACAATTTCTAATTAATAAATATAAAAAATCCTACGCATAAATAATTCAATAAATTAAAACACTGACAGTTGTCGCGAAGCGCAAAATTTAAGAACTAACAATGGCGCGCTTTTTAAACTTAAAAAGTAACTTCTTAATATTCTTTAAATTAATTAAAATAATGACAATAAAGTTAGCCGACATGTAATAATTTTTAAAATTTTTTTTATTGAAAAAATTATTTAAAAAAAATTAATTGAAAAAATTTTACATGCAGAAAGTTTGAAAAATTTTACGTGCAATTTTCGTAAAAATGTTTTTTTTTGTTCTAATTTAATTAATAAAAAAAAATCTAAAATTGTTGAGCGTCGGCTAATTTTAATGTCATTTAAAATACAATGTATTTATAGTAAACTACAAGTTAATAATATCAGGCAGATAAATATATTTATAATCAGATCCTTTTAGTTGAAGAATACCAATCTGTACATATTTTTCTGGATCACTTTTTTTCAACCGGCATACTATTGGGTTACCTCCGAAATATGTCTAAAAAATAAAAAAATTATATTAATATCATCCCTATTTAAGAATACTGATTAAAAATAATTAATAAACATGAAATTCGAATTTTTTTCAATCAGTATTCTTAACCAGGAATAAAATAATAAAGCTTGACTTAAAAACTCACTGTTCGTTCGGAAGTTTTCGGGGAACAATCTAATTTACCGAATTTTTTTTGGTAACTGTGTTCCATAAATCCATCGTTAATTTCTTTGTCTTCAAAGGTAACTTCGCATTTGTATTCAAAATGACCGCGATCTCTGTCTTTTAATTGGGTTATTAAACAATTATCATAGTCAATTTCGTGACAGGGTCTGGCAATTGGTACTGATATTTTGCTAGTTGAATTAAAAATTATCGATTCATTAAGCCCGATAAATGCAATGTCCGGGTCTGATTTTTTGTATCGCTTTGCGTAATCGTAATAATATATATAACGTTTTTTGTAAGTTCTTGGCTGATGTTTCGCTGAAATTTGACAGTAATATTCGGTGTCTTGAGGATCTCTTCTTCCGTCAGTCGGATATTTTTTTGGTACTTTCATAAATTCAGCTATTTCCGATCGATTGTAATCGCCGAATACGAAAACACCGATCGTTTCAGATTTCCGCTTTCTGGAACTGATAATTATTTACAGAGTATAATTAATAATTTAAATTTTTTACAAAAGAATATAAATACCTCTTTATCCTGTAATAAGATAACAAGCGATTATTAATTCTTAATTAGCAATTATTATGAATAAAAAAAATTTAGCTAAATAATTTTTTGGTGTTTATGACAATATACATAGTTTGGGTACTTTTTAAATAAATTTTAAAAATAATATTGCTATCACAGGTTTAATTAAATTTGGTATCGTTAGAAAAGTCTTGACAATATAGAAAAATCTTGATAATATAGAAATGACCTCGTATTTCGTGAATTATTGACATTTTTAAAGATATAAACTCATCTCGATGTTACACTCATCACGACCTTTTATTTGAGTACCCACATAAATTTTTCACATATTTATATGAATTATATAATATATATATATATATATATGTATATATGAAAAATATATCAAAATGCATGTGGGTACTCAAATAAAAGCTCTTGATGAGTGTAACATCAGAATGAGCTTATATCTTTAAAAATGTATATTACATAAGGGGTACAATGTAATTTAACAAATATCTTGTGAACTATTGATATTTTTAAAGATATAAGCT